ATGGGCGTCTTACTTGTGTCAATAAAGGTTGCTTTGTCATCGAATAAAGCTGTTATCCTTGTGTTCGAAGCTTAACAACAAATTGAAGTGTAAGGAAATTATATTCCTGAATAATATTCTTGTTTATCTCCTGGTGACTGTTGCAATATTTGAAACATCATTGACACAAGCACTACTTTGTCCACTCAAAGATGGATAAATAGAATTGCAACTTCCCACTCAAAGATGGGCGTCTTACTTGTGTCAATGAAGGTTGCTTTGTCACCGAATAAAGCTGTTATCCTTGTGTTCGAAGCTTAACGACAAATTGAAGTGTAAGGAAATTATATTTCTGAAAAATCTTCTTGTTGCAACATTTGAAATATCATTGACACAAGCACTACTTTGTCCACTCAAAGATGGATAAATAGAATTGCAACTTCCCACTCAAAGATGGGCGCCTTACTTGTGTCAATGAAGGTTGCTTTGTCATCGAATAAAGCTGTTATCCTTGTGTTCGAAGCTTAACAACAAATTGAAGTGTAAGGAAATTATATTCCTGAATAATATTCTTGTTTATCTCCTGGTGACTGTTGCAACATTTGAAACATCATTGACACAAGCACTACTTTGTCCACTCAAAGATGGATAAATAGAATTGCAACTTCCCACGCAAAGATGGGCGTCTTACTTGTGTCAATGAAGGTTGCTTTGTCACCGAATAAAGCTGTTATCCTTGTGTTCGAAGCTTAACGACAAATTGAAGTGTAAGGAAATTATAATTATTTCTGAAAAATTTTCTTGTTGCAACATTTGAAATATCATTGACACAAGCACTACTTTGTCCACTCAAAGATGGATAAATAGAATTGCAACTTCCCACTCAAAGATGGGCGTCTTACTTGTGTCAATAAAGGTTGCTTTGTCATCGAATAAAGCTGTTATCCTTGTGTTCGAAGCTTAACAACAAATTGAAGTGTAAGGAAATTATATTCCTGAATAATATTCTTGTTTATCTCCTGGTGACTGTTGCAACATTTGAAACATCATTGACACAAGCACTACTTTGTCCACTCAAAGATGGATAAATAGAATTGCAACTTCCCACTCAAAGATGGGCGTCTTACTTGTGTCAATGAAGGTTGCTTTGTCACCGAATAAAGCTGTTATCCTTGTGTTCAAGCTTAACGACAAATTGAAGTGTAAGGAAATTATATTTCTGAAAAATCTTCTTGTTGCAACATTTGAAATATCATTGACACAAGCACTACTTTGTCCACTCAAAGATGGATAAATAGAATTGCAACTTCCCACTCAAAGATGGGCGCCTTACTTGTGTCAATGAAGGTTGCTTTGTCATCGAATAAAGCTGTTATCCTTGTGTTCAAGCTTAACAACAAATTGAAGTGTAAGGAAATTATATTCCTGAATAATATTCTTGTTTATCTCCTGGTGACTGTTGCAACATTTGAAACATCATTGACACAAGCACTACTTTGTCCACTCAAAGATGGATAAATAGAATTGCAACTTCCCACTCAAAGATGGGCGTCTTACTTGTGTCAATGAAGGTTGCTTTGTCACCGAATAAAGCTGTTATCCTTGTGTTCGAAGCTTAACGACAAATTGAAGTGTAAGGAAATGATATCCCTCTACAATCTTGTGACTTTTAGAACCTTTCTGCACCATCATATTAAACTTGTTATTGTGCATGTACACAAAGAGAAAAGGTTCCTTTTAACACTACAAGTCTCGTAACAAGCACTACATTTATTTCAATTTTGAACAATTCCCATTGGTAGTAAGGAAATGCACGTTGTCTGCAAAAAATTAATATGAACATTAAATATTATTTTTGTACAGGTTTATCCTTGTGATAAACATCTACAGTCTCAGAAATTGGAGTGGAAATGTTTTGTACATTTCAGTGTCAAGGCATTTTTATATAATATTTTTCTGTCATTGCTATTGGATTCCGTACTCCGTTCCGTGATTCCGTTTCCTCATTCCAGATTAATTATTTTACGGCTGCCATCTTCGCCATTAAAATGTGCATGCAGCAACTATGTCTTTATTGTAAAAGAAATCAGACAAAGACGTGCTTTACAGGCATATGCTATCAAAGAAACTACAGGCAACATACAAAGGTCAGATCTGTACGAAGCAACTCGCTGTTGCATGAAGCTCACATGTGAAACGATTTTTATGATCGACATCGATGAAATGCTCCCAAAGCTATTACATAGACTTAAATATGCCTCTATATATTTAAACAAGATTCAGAATGTACTTACGAAACAACAAGGATCCACAGTTTAAAATAAGCGTTCTTTCTTCTCAATGATGGTTGAAACACTCAGGGTGCATTCGAGTCGCGAAGAGTGAACACTGAACTCCTTCATCACCGCTTCCATGGGATTTGGCGTTTCGTTTAAATAGTTTTTCGAAGTATTATTTCTCCCTGCAGTCTATCTCCGCAATCTATCACACTCTCCTCGCTTATCTTGACAAAAAAATGCTCCTGCATGAACAAACCAGCAAAATGGAAGGCGAACCGACAGCGAAGAATGTTCAAAAGGGCGCGCGATTCAAAATCCAACGTGAAAACGAGGCACGCATGCTCGTAACACTCGCGCCCCCAGAGCGAGGCAAAATGCGTGCAAGCGTTATAATTTATTTGGCTGTTTCTAAATTGTTTCAAATTACGCGTCAATGTTTGGAGCGCTAGTAATTTTAATGACACATCTTTGAATCTCTGAAAAAAGGAAGACAGAGAGAATCATCTATCACTTTTCCAGTATTTACGACGTGTAGTTTAGCGCAGGCGATTATCTCTGTTCTTTCGGATATTTTAGGTCAATGCAATGATTCCTCATCTTGCCTGAAGCGTAATCAGTACAGTTAAAACAAATTTTATTACATGAAAAATATTAAAAATAGTGCTGTTGCCGAGAATCCTTGGCAGCACATCGCCTACTTAAAATTAAATCAACCGAAGATAAAAGCTACCAAATTTCCGCAGAAAATTGTCTGCGGAAACGCGACTGATACGGCCTTGTACATTTCAGCCATCGGAAACGCTGCGGAAACGCTGCGGAAACGCGAAACGCGACCTCATTTTGCTCTTACGTGTTTCCGCCCTCCGGAAATGTGACGGAAACTTGAACCATCAGATTTCCGCAAGATTTCCGAAATACGGAAACGCCTTATTTCACCCTGTGATATTTTTCAATCGCCTTAAAGGTGATTTTATCCTTGTCTCATCGCTATAAGATTTTCACCAGTGATTGACTATGAATTGAAGTTTCTCCAAATTTAGTTTTAAGTAAAATCGATATCACCATGACAACAATAAACAAAAAACACTGAAACCTATAAAAGCCGAATTTTGCTCGATCTAGACCTGCTACTGAAAATCCGACACTAGGAACTTACAATGTGGTGTTTAGCAAATAACCTCCGTGACAAATAAAAATTATTTATGTTTGAATTCAAATAAAACGCAAATATATTTCAAACCTTACATTTTCCATGGCCGTGAGAAAATGTTTAATAAAAAAGTTCCAAATAACTCAAATTAATCTTAACTTGCGTCAGAATGCTGCTTAATATCATATTTCGCTGCTTGGAAATTTTGGTGTATTTTGCTCATGTGTGATCCTGTGATTTGTGATACAGAAAAGCGCTAAGAGTCAAAATTTAGAATAAAGTTGCACTTAGACAGGTGGTCAGAAAACAGGATCACAAAACATTTTCTCACGGCTATGTAAGGTAAATGTAAGGTTTGAAATGTATTGACGTTTTATTTGAATTCAAACATACAGAATTTTTTTTCTTCAGGCGAGTTAGCTTGCCCAATTTACCATTATTTCAAGGGCAAGGTTTTTTTGAGATCTCTTGTGTGATAATATGCTTTAGCAAGATGAGCCGGGAAATGTGTTGCAGTTCAAATGTACAGTCATTCCAAATGTGAAGTGCTAAAACCACTAAACTCGTACTGAACATGATCAAATGTTCATTGCAAGCCAATTTCACGGCTTAGTGGTCTAAAAGTGTAACAGTGTGCACTCTGGAACAATTCTACACTAATAATAAAAATATAGTCAGGCCGTGATTTGCTTCTTTGAGTAAACGTTTTAACTGCAAAACAAACCGCGTGTTAAGTACAGTACTGTAAGTAAGTAATGGTTTGTTTTTACTGGGAAAATTTGAAGTTCTCTTGAAAGGCTAAACTATAGTTCAGGGAAAACGACACTGTCGTTTTCTTGAACATGTCTTTTTTTTCCAGGTTAACGGGACAATGTTTTTTTTTCTCTTCACGTGGCGTTTAAAAAGGACGAGAATGGTTTTAAGATACCGTACGGTATTTTTTTATGTAAATTGCTTCCACCTTATTGTAGTTTACTGTTGTTTTGAGCATCCACATTTCCCCCCGGCGCTTAGACGTATTTTTCACGGTATAAACCACTTCTCAACGGTCCTTTGACGGTTTCAGAAGTGACGTTGCTCGTCTTACGGAGGTGTCTGTCTTATTTATAGGGAGTATAAAACAGTAAAATGACTTGAAAACGGCGGCAGGGGCCAACACCAGGTGCCCGTCTTAGATAGGTGTCTCTTATGAGCGAGTTGAGTGTATTCAGCGTTTTCGTGTGGTCGCTTTCAGTAGGGGGCTAACGCGAAAAACGTAAAACGAGAAAAATTCGGTCAAGGGAAATAATTTAACTTTGTTTTACTCTTTGACGGTGGGAATAGTAAATGATTTAACTGGGTGACGATAATTAAACCGCACTGCTGAACAATAAATGAAACAATTGCAATATAAGGAACCCACATTTATTGGCTATTCATATACAATGTTCCGCTGCCTTCTGCTGCCACACAACAGTAGTATAGTTTTCAGTTGTATGTTAAGTTTGACCTTTTGATTCTAGTTTTGTTTACTGTCCCTTAGAGAGCTTATTAGCATTTAATGACTTTATCTTGGTTCCTCTCCAATTTTCAGCAGGCGCTTGAGAAATTTTTCACTTTACAAAAATATTGCCATGTGGATTAACCACGCCTTTTACTTGATTCTCGTCGTTTCTGCCACATGGATCGTGTGTGGGCCAATTTCTACTCGTACTACCGTCGAAGTAATAATAGGCGTTATCACTGAAAAGTCCAGGACCGGGACGGTACATCCTGATGTAATTTGGCACAACACCTGCACACTGCTCTGAAACTAGAATTTGTTTGACCAGTTTACAGCTGAGGAACCCCACTTTCTGCATCACGAGGCTTCCAGAACCTTCCTTGCAAGCGATCCAGTTGTTGATGTTACTCTTGATAAGGAATTCTTTTCCAATGGTGCGCCACAAAGCAAAGTCCATGGCTTCGTAATGCGTCTCGTTCAGTGGAACTGTGGTGGACACTCGTGTGTTAGCATTGCTGGCTGTCCATGTAGGCCGTGGAGTGACAGCGTTCGCGCGAGACGTGAAACTTGAATAAGCTGTGAAGGTATAACTCCAGACCAAAGTCCAACCTCCTCCGTCCGTCTGTTGGTCGCAATAGGCTTGGAAAGCGTTGCTATGGGAACCAGCATCCGGGTCAATCCAATAGACACCCGACGTGGCAGAAGGAACTTTTGTTTTGAGATCGTTGCAATTGAGTGCTGAAGAATATTTGGACAAACCTGCGTCAATAAAGAAAACGACCATTTTAAAATGAGATTTTTTTCTGAAAGCGCGTGCCAGCAGACGTCCTTCCCGTCACTACAGTTACCACTGGGACGATAGACAAAATATTTTCCCGCTTCCGAATTGAATTTACGTTGTTCTCCGTGAGCGATGAAAACTAAGAACAACATTTTGAGCGGCACTGCTACAGCAGTGTTTCTCGCTTTTTTGACATTTTTAGCAGTTTAGAAGCTAAATCTTATTCCTCTAATTCACGAATTTACAAGCTTTTTTTCATCGTAAGAGCCGACAGATGTATGAAGCTGAGCACGGACTGACTTGTAAAATTCTCTGGTCTTATACTAATTGATTAAGAATATATTGTGTCGTTTTTAATACACGCTAGCATATTAAAGCAAACCACCGCGATTCACCTATCAGATTCGATTCTACCAGCTAGCATTTGTCATTGACAAGTTGCTTAACAATTTCATTTTTGCAGGAAAACTGAACGCAGTCTTGTGAAGGTAAAGATTTTTTTTTGGGTCCATCTCAAGAACTTTGTATTGAATTTTCCTATCCAGAACCATGCGTGCAAATGTAAGGAGAGATTTCCCATGTATTCTTTATTTGCCTCGAATTTCATTTCTAGCTTTTAAAATATTCCCTTTGAAGTTGTCTTAGGCGTAATTTGCATTGAATTTGCATTGATAGACGTTTTAGTTCTCTTACATTATGCACATTTTACTTCAATGTTTACGTTTTAAGGATAACTAGTTTCTGAATAATTATACAGCTTAGTCACTGAACAACTGGATCTTTCTCCTGTTCAAACACCAACCGTTTGTAGCTCGTTTGTAGTTTTTAGTTTTGACATTTTAAGGAATCCTGAGCAAAGGAAACTCGAATTCTTTTGCACAGCTTTACTGCTAAATCTTTGAGTCATTTAGTTTACATATGAACTTTAAAGCTTACTTTATCCAGATTTGTTTTCAGTTTTCAGCTGATTTTATTCAGCCTTCTTTCCACTTGTTTTGTAATGTTGTAATAAGTTGATAGGTTAGTATGAATAGAGCACTGTTATTCCTCTTTTTCGATTTACATTGCGGATTTACATGCTTGTACGATTTACATTTTGGATGCAAATGTATGTATGATTTACGCCCACGAACTGAAGATTAAACTGTTGAAGTCCAAGCTTGAGTGCTGTCCTGTTTCCAGTTGTAGCAGATCCTAGTACCTTGGAACAGTGACGAGTTCCTTTCCCGCTAGTCCGCTAGCCAAGCGAGTTGCAGAGTTCAAGTTTAACGGTTACATTAGATTACATGTGATTAGCTTTCTCCTAGCTGATCGCGCATATAGATTCATTGTTTGCAAGAATTTGAACGGAATCGAAAATTTGGTTGCAAATTTATCCTACAAAACACTATAGATATGTGACTAAGCCTGACAACCTTTTTTGTCCTTTATAACAAAGAATGAATGCTTGAGACTCGAGAATTGAAAGCGGTTTGCGCGCGAAAGTTTTTAGGAACAGTGTTTCGAAAGAAGAAGAATTATCATGGTTTTTCCACGGAAGATCAAATCATTTATTTCGATCAACCAGCGAACTTCTTTTTTAAATATTAGAACCAGTCGATTTCGGTCGAGGCTGAAACAGTTTTGAAGATTTTTAGCACAAATTGAGCATGAATTGTTCTTTCGTTCTTTTTTAGCATCGACCAGGGGTGGAGAACGAGAAGCGTTTTGACTTTGCTTTTGAAACTTCTAGAAACATAAATTTGGAATATTTTACCGCAGATACATCGTTGTTTTTACCCAATAAAAACCTGCAATGCATTTGCACCCGTTGAACCATGAACTGATGTGTTTTGCTTGTCAATTAATAAAATTATTACACTTGCATCCTGATGCTCTCAATTTTTGTGTAAATTTGAGCCTCGATCGTTGTTCTTATAAAATTTTTTTTATTTAAAATTGGGTGTATTCAGTAATTTTACTGTAAAGTGACAAAAGAAAAGGGTTTAAGCGGCGTGTGAAATCATACAACGACAAAAACTATCAATTTTCTCAAATTTGTTTACCAGGAAAAATAAATAGTGCCAACAATTAAGTGAATGCAAATAACGGAAAGCAAATAAAAAGGCAACTTCTCAACAAGAAAATTGAGAGGTTTTACATTTATACTCATTATATGTTCAACATGAACCTACGAAACATCGACAGTGTTTGTCCACGAATAATGCAATAAATTTGCCTTACGATTAACCCGTCTATATGATATTGATATGAGAAGGTTGGGTTTATAAATTGCTCAACACGAGGTCAGACAATAGTTGTATAAAATATGCCACATTACTGTTAGTAACAAGATTTTTCACTTGTGGCATTTCATTTTTGACCCCCGTGATAATACGGCCTATTAGCTGTCTGACGTTCTTTTATAGCTAGAGACGAAGTAAGTTGTTTAAAAAAAGAATAAATCAAACAAACACTCTTGCTGTTGATGCCATGCAAGCAGACCAGGCATTAAATGAATACTACCTGTGCATTTTTTTCCATCTTCGTTATATCTAGGTTTACATGTGCAATTGAAGGATCCGTGGTTGTTTTTACAAATGGCATCAGAACCGCACCCGTGAGTGCCTGCTTCACACTCGTCGATGTCTGAAATAATACATTGTTGAACACCACAAATAGTAAGCTTATTAGTACGCTGTGTGATGATTTCCCTTACCCGTCACTGGGCGTTCGTTCAGTTGGGCGGCAGGATTTTATGAGCTAAGAGGGAGTGGGTGATACCGGAAAGTTATCCTATGGCGTCCCCAAAACGTTTCAATCGAGTAAAGATGAATAGGAACCTGTAACACCACAAATTCTTATAGCGCCACAAAAAATTAGAAATGATTACATTTCAAAAATGTGTTCTCTCCCCGGCTGTACACGATATCACCCATAATACGGGAATAAACTGCCAATTGAACTGTTCTAACGAATAAGTAAGTCAGCTAAAAATGGCGGGATAGGAAGCCTCCCAATCCACTTTCCCTGGATCCACCTCTGTCGTTGCATTGCTTTAAGAAGCAAGTTGTATCAGGGGGAGTGAATAAAAGAGAAGTGATAAAGTTTCTGCTACCATAAGAGAAGAGACTTAGCACTGTAAATACTACCTGTGCAGTTTTCTCCATCTCCTGTAAATCCAGGTTTACATGTGCAATTGAAGGATCCGTGGGTGTTATTACAAAATGCATCAGAACTGCAGTTGTGTGTATCTGCCACACACTCATCGATATCTAAAATAAGTTTTAAATTACATGTAAATAACGGAATGCTCAATCGATGAAAAATTAAAATTTATTTATCCTGGGAGGTAAAATATTCATTCTTGCAAAATTAAGCAAACATAAGATCCTTTTGTTTTTCCTGCCTCGTCGCATTTATTTGTTTTAGACCCGCAATCGATTTTCAGGTAACCCTCCATTTTATTCAGTAACCGTGCAGCCTGCGAACGGCAGACGTTTCTCCTTGCTCATCGACGATGAGGGACGTTTCGCAAGGAAGAACTCTGCCACTCAGAGACAGAAATTTCATACTGATGACGTAAAATCTGTCTGGAATCCGGTCATAAGAGCTGATTGGACGTCGGAGTAGTCACATTGTTCTAGCCATTGTTTACGAATGACAGACACAAGACAAAAGGCAAAATAAACGCGATGAATCTTTAACAAAACACGCAATACCTGTGGAATATCCCGGGGAGGGCGGTGCTTCCTTTTAAGAGGCTAATGGGGATGTGCCGCTGGATGGGGTCGCATTTTCACGACTGGATTGACTATAATGGGGTTGCATTTTCAATAGAGTTACTAGAATGGGGTCGCACATTTTCGGATTTTTTGGGGTAAGACAGTTCTTCATCTTTACGGTTAGCATGCAAACGTACCAGAATGTTTGTACTGCAGATGAAAAGTAAAGTGTTTTTCATTCAATCTAAAAAATGGTCAATTCATAAGAATAGAAAGTGACTACGTTGGGATCGCGAAAATTAAATATCTGCCCAAAAGTGACTAAGATGGGGTCTATAATTGGCCATAGAATAGAGTATAATGGGGTTGAGGCTCTAAGAGGCCAGCAGCACATACCCAGCGAAAATAAACCCAGGTGTGCGATTATCGGAGGCGAAACGAAGAGTGGAGGCCAAGTATGTATTCAGGGTTATACAATTTAATGGTTAAAGGAGATTACATGAGCAAGGCCTAAGGTCAACTGAACTATTGTACAATCACATCAGGATATATAAGTCGAGCGCGGTTGCTAAGTAAGAGGATTAAGGGCTAATCCCACATTCTCCTTTCTAGACATTTTGGTACTTCTATAAGAATGTCTCTGTGCAAAGTTCTTTAACGATACGGGAAGCGAGTCAATCAAGTATTTCCATCACGAAATGAATCACTTATAACAAATGTTCTTTCAGTCCTAATCAAAACCTAATCTCTTGGGCGGGCCTTGACTTTTCTTCCGGAACGAGTAGTGGTTCCAGGAACGGGAACTGGAATGAAAGACTTTTTGGACTGCTTGTAACGTGTGTGAATCCCCAGTCTTCTGCAAATTTGGTGAATTCCGCAGAGAAATTCCGTGGTCCGTTGTCGAAGATCACGGTTTCTGGAATTCCCGGCAGAAGTACTCGCGAGAAGTAATCTGCCACGAGGACGAATTCTTGTCCTTTCCATTCGAATAGATCGGTTCCTACGTTTTGGAATGGATGCTCTGGTAACTGTAAAGGAATCATGGGCTCTGCACGATTAGTTTTCGTCTTGATGCAAGTAGGGCATTCTCTGACAAGATGACATTCGGCCCCCAGACACCACTTTGAGCCCTTTCGCGGCATTTCTGGATCCCTTGATGACCTGTGTGTATCTTGCCTAATATAATACATCGAGCCTTAACACTGAGGGAATTATGACTCTGTCGTCTTTCATTAGGATTCCCTGCTGAACAGTAATTTCTGCTCTGTACTGCTAGTACGGTTGGAGTGAACAATTCAAGTGATGTTTCTCTGGCCAGCCTTCACTGCAGAACAGCTTAAGCTTTGAACAAACTTCATCTTCATCCTGATGAAGGCGTATTTCTCGCAAGCGGCGCTCTGTAGTTGGCAGGTATTCTATTATGTGTGAGACATAGAGGTTTAAATCTTCATTAAGTTGCTTTTCATCTTTCGTGAGACTTCGGTGAAGCGGCGCTCTTGAAAAGGTATCAGCTGTGGTGAGATCTTTTCCGGGTACATGGACTATTTGGTACGAGTAGCGCATCAGTCGCATCCGGAACCTCTGAATACGTGGTCCAATCACAATTTGACTATTGCAGCATGGCCACCGTGTGGCACGCTTTTTCACAAACTGCAGTTATGATGCAGATGCGAGTATACTATTAAATGACTTAGGGTGGCAAACCTTGAAACTCAGCGGCTAATTCATAAGGCTGTGATGGTGTATAAATCTTTGAATTGCCTTGCACCTGATTACATGTCTTCAAAATTCATACTACGCAGCGATCAGAGGCGACAAAAACGCTTTTAAAAATGCATCTTTAAGCATGCGCTTATCGAGGCATTGAGCCCGCTAGGAAGTCGACATTCTCGTTCCCAGAGCTTCGATCCTTTAGGTCAGCGTCGGGGATCGATGGTTCCAATTACTGCGGACTTCCTGTTCGACTGCTCAGTGGGAGGAAAAAAATCTGAAAAATTCAGCAGCAAAATATGCCGCCGTTTATTTCTCTCATACGTGTTATGAAGTGCGATATTTAACTCTGAGCATGCAATTAAACTTGATATCATGGACAACGTGTTGGAATTATGATCGAGGAAGACTCCGGCAATAAAATCAGATGAAAATCATGACGTTGCCGAAAGTCGCCGGTTTCGAAAAGTTTCGTGTTCAAAATGTTCACCGTCCACACTAATACGGCTAGCCTTGACTCGTTCCCAGTCGTCTTCCCATCACTCCCCTTGCGACACTAAGGAGAGACAGAGAGACACGACTGGGGACGAGACAGCGGCTAGCCGGCGTTTTTAAATTCTTCCTCTCTGAAGACTGTTTTCGAAGAGTTCCGTTTTCGATGGGAGAATTTATCCGGATTCGGGTGGATTAGTGTGGACGGAAGGCGTAACCGGAAAAATAAAGTTTCGTTTTCAAATTTATCCGGCATAGTGTGGACGGGGCCTCAAATAACCAAGAAACACCCATAGATTACAGAAACAAAAGGCAAAAGTGCGAGGACAAATATTACTTGAAAGGGTATGACAGTTAAGAAAAGATTTATCGAACGAGAGGATAACAAAACCTTAAAACATCTGCTATGCAAACGTTTTTTACACTGCCGTAGGACATGATAAGGACAGCCCGAGCTTGATTACGATTTGCGAACCTTTGATTTAATTAGTTGCATTGAAATAAACTTTAAAGAACAACTTACCATTCTCACAGTGTTCACCAGTGAAACCAGGAGGACATAAACATCGATATTTCTTCACTGTGAATCCAGACTGACAGGTACCGCCATTATGGCAACGGTTCTTATCGCAAGCACTCTTTAAAAGAACATTAATCAGGTTTGATTTGGTCATGATTGAGCGTCAGCTACAAACTACAAGATGATAATGATGATGATGATGATGATGAGGATGGGACAATGGTAGTTATTACGACGATGATGAGGACAATATTAAAAACAATAGGGAGCTTAAACAACGACGTCAAAGGCAAGGAAAACGCAAATAGATTAAACAGGTTAAGCATTAGCAAAACAACAACTTTGCTCGTAGATCACATTACCCTAGTTTCACCTTTTCTAAAGGACGTGAACAAAAGACAAAGATTTTTTATCTTAATTTATCACTTCGGCGGAACACGAAGCAAAGGATTCGCGACGCTCAGGAATGTCCCAAAAATGCTTTTTTGGGAATAGGTTGGGTCTTCGGTCTGAATCGGCTATTTGACGAAGTGAGAGCCGAATTACTTCGGGTTATCTCGAGATCACTTCGAGTTCTTTGATTAATTCTTTAATTTAATCTTGGAAGAAATAATTATTCTTTTGGCTTGCCCAGGGTTTGAACCGGCTAACGTGTGACCCATCAGATCAGATGAGACCCTATTAAGTTGAGGGATTAACCGACTGCGCCACTGCGACCCAACGTAACTTGAGATGTGAAAAATAGCTATAAGTTATGCACTAGGTCACTAGGTAAGGGATAAGATTGAGCACGCAAGTTGGTGACTTTTCGGGTATTGGACGTAGTGACAGCGGAATGAGTTCGAAATATCTCGAGATCACTTCGAGTTCTTCCGGCTTCAATAAATATTTCAGGCGGAGCGCGAAGTATTTTAAGCAGCGGACGTTCTTGAGATCACGGACGTCTGGAAGGTTGCGCCCGGTCTGGACCGAGTACGGCGTTTGTGGCGCAAAAAGCGAAGGTTAAGCAACGAATGGTTTTTAGCATAACGCCAGTCACGAACGTCTTGTCAATGTTAACTTGTCTTGACTCATAGCATTTCGAATTTCAGAAAGATCTTTGTCGCTGGAAAACGTTCCGAGGATAATTTATACTAACAATAAAAAAACACGCAGTAGTAACATTTTCGTTTAAGCCTTAATATTTTTTTTGTTGAAAACAAAATAGCAATTCATGCAGTCATAATTATCGGTGGTAAAAGTAACAAGAAGATAAAGCCCTCTGAAATAAGATGTGAGTTCACTTGATGATGATTCGCATGGACAAGAAATCGAGTAAATCTTACGTAAATCCCGTAAATGTTTGCCATCTTCTAGTTTTGCAGCCAGCTAGAGTTAGCGAGTCCAAAAATAGAGTTAGAGACTGTTTACCTGATGTTTACATCGCTGAAAACGCCGAATCCTTGGTTTGGCCAACAATTTAACCACAATATCGGAAATTACCGCATAATTCTTTCCCAAAAGCGTACTTTCTAGTTATAGAATCTCGCGTTCTAGCGTGAACTTCAAAATAGGCGTTCTGGCGTCGGCGACCTGACCTCACGGACGTTAACACACGCGCAGTATATTCAAACGGGCGCGAGTGACTTCCGGTCGGCGTTCGTGACCTTAAGAACGTCTGCTGCTTAAGCTCTCTATTAAAGGATTCGCGATGCTCAGGAATGTCGTAAACTTGCACTTTGTTGCCGAAGTGAGTACGGAAGTTGTTCGAGATCAGCTCGAGTTGTTTAGTTTATCTGAGGAAGAAAGAAATATTATTTTTGGCTCGCCCAGGTTTTGTAGATGATCTTTAC